CCTTATGTGTCTGACCTGTGAAATACAGCACTGCTTTCATTTATCCTAAAATGCAACTGCTGTCCTTCGGCGGTCTGGAAAACCACACCTTTTAAAGGATTTTCCCTATGTGATTTGAGTGCAGTGAGCCGTGTTTCCTTCTAGTGAAAAAGGGCACAGCTCCAGTGCAGCTGATGGAATTTCACTCGCTTAAATTCAGTAATTTATATAATTATTTCAAACATAAAGAAATCATGGATTGAAGCATATCAACTAGTAAAAAACTGAACCAAAATTAGTATCTAAGTGATAATAAATGTACTTGTCTCATCTTTCCTGAAATTAGCTGATTTTACTCCTAAAATGTGTTCTGCAGCAACACCGCAGACAGCTTTCTTACTACAAAGAGAAGTGAATTTTGAGAAGTTATTTGACTTTTGCATTAAACCAGAGTAACAAATACCAGGGGGGAAAAGGACATGGATGATACTTGACCATGGGCAAAACTGCATCGCATCAATAACGAGATACAGACTGTGGTGCTTTACATTAGCAACGTGCATTTACCTGCATCTTCACTTGCACTGCTAAAACATGCATTATTGTGCTAAGTAGCTCCACAAATGAGGTAAACGTTCATTTTCCCTCCTCCAAACTGTGCATTTATTTAAATCCTAAGAGCTAAGTCAGCTTACGGTTTTCTATTAGAAAAACCAAACCCCAAAGCATGCCCGCAGTGACGTCAGGCATTATCCATACGGGTGCCAGACACATCTTTGCTCCACCTGCATCCATAATACGGCTGGTTTCAGTATAGCTGCTGTCGTGGATAATACAACACTCTCCTCGCCTCCACCAGGTCATAAGCCAGGCTGTAATTACTGTTATAATTACATATTATATGTAATGCAGATAACAAGCTCTTCTTGCAACACTGCTTGTTGTGTTTTCATTCTGGCTATCATTGTCCACATATTTATTAAAACTAATTAAAAACTGGGCTCTGAAACCAGGCCTGAAAAGGTAGGGGATGGAGAGAGCTTCCCTGTAGCCTCAGATTCTGCCAAATCCAGGATATTCGTTTCCATGTGCTCTTCTGCCACTCCGTTTCTGTCCTGGTGATGGGAGAAGCAGGTCCGTCGGGGTTTCTCCCGCTGTAGCAGCTGACGATGCTTCCGTTGCTCCCCTTAACACCAGGGCTGAAACCGCGGCTGACTAATACCCGGGGTTCTGAGGGCAGCAGGAGAGAACAGCTCTCCCCCGCCGCGCTGCTCACGGCTGGGAAGGACAGAAAAACGACCGGAGTCTGCGCCTCAGCTTTAACCTCTGACTTCCCCATTTCCCGAGGAAGAACCCCGTGCAATCACCTTCTTTCAAGCCTTCAGTTTGCACTATGAACACATCCCAGGGGAAATCAAAGACCGGGGCAAGGCAGCACAAATGCCACAGAGCACCTTTTTCCCACAGTTAATTGCAAGCCTGTTGGTTACTGATGCCCTTCGGAATATTTTTTCCTCTTACCCTCAGTTAACTTACTCTCTGCACCTCTACCACAGAAGACTTTTGACAGCTGCCCACTCTGGACTCCTCCAGCATTTAATGAAGTCATTCAGCCTCTTCCAAAGGACCTGATTCCTGAGAAGGGGATTAATGAGACACACATGGAATTCAGGCAACGCATAGGAAAGCAAAGCATCCTTTCCTATCATCCTCTTAGAAAACAAGGGCGAGGTTCAGTATTCCTTATCCTCCTTGCACCACCACGGTCAGTGGGAATTTTTGATCAGACAATGATGTTCACTTAGGTCTAGGACAAATGAATGATTTTATTTAATTGTTTGCTAAAATGACTTTCCTTGTCATTTTAGGTCAGGAGGGGCCCTTACTTTGGCCCCCCAGATTGCTCTTCCCACAGGAGCAGGTTCTCAGTCCTGCCAGTCACCAAGCTACAGCGATTTCTCTTTTCTCTCATCCACCCGAAGACACCCATCCCACCACCGTGCATCACGGAGCAGTCTACCTCAGGCTGAAGACTTCCTGCAGAAACAGCAGCGCAGAGCAAAGCTGGGTGTGCAAGATGAGGGACAGGGAGCAGGAATCGGATGCTCAAAGGCAGCTGAGGGAAATGGATACCCAGCTTTCAAGACAACTCAAGAGAAGCAGAGGGCACATCTACCTGCAGCTCCGAGATCGAAGTGTATAAAAAGCTGGGAAACTCCCCAAAAGCAGGGGTATTCGCTCTGCTCCGAAGCGGAATTGGCTCGATGCTTAGACAGGCTCGGTCAGACAATGTGTCAGGTTGAGTCGCCTCGTCAGCCAGCTCTTTGTTTTGTGTTGTATTCTGGACCTTTGAGGTTCAATCTACATGTCAACATTTGTACCACATTAAACCCACACCAGCGTCCGTCAGACTACACCCATCAAGTCACTGAGCCCTGCACTTTAATTTCCACCAACCCCAAGACATTTCCAGGCCTCAGAAAGGTTAAAAATCTTAACACACATGGAAGTTTTGTAGTTCCCTTTCCATTACGCTCGCTGCTATATTTAGCAGGCTGTTTGGCACCTCATACAATGACACACAGCAGCAGCCGCATCATCCTCCCCTTCCCAAAAGCAGCCCCATGCCATGAAGGTGCAGTCTTCACACAGGTACAGCTTTTCAGGGTCCCGTATGCCTGTGTTCTGCAAACTTCCCTCTCCGTATAGGCCAAACGGGTACAATTTTAACTCTGAGCCCCATCATACACTTTCTATTACTGTAAATGCAACTAATTAATAAGCTAACTTACTTGAATCATAGAATCACAGACTGGTTTGGGTTGGAAGGGACCTTAAAGATCATCCAGTTCCAACCCCCCTGCCATGGGCAGGGACACCTTCCACTAGACCAGGTTGCTCCAAGCCTCATCCAGCCTGGCCTTGAACACTTCCAGGGATGGGGCATCCACAGCTTCTCTGGGCAACCTGTCCCAGTGCCTCCCCACCCTCGCCGGGAAGAACTTTTCTTCCTGATATCCAATCTAAATCTCCCCACTTTCAATTTAAATCCGTTCCCCCTTGTCCTGTCACTACCGGCCCTTGTAAAAAGTCCCCCCCAGCTCCCTTGTAGCCCCTTCAGGCACTGGAAGGTGCTATAAGGTCTCCCCGGAGCCTCCTCTTCTCCAGGCTGAACACCCCCAACTCTCTCACACTTCTCTGAATACAGCCCAGGATACGGTTGTCTTTCTGGGCTGCCAGCGCACAAGGTGCTGAATTAAAACCTTCAAGGTGAATCTCCTGTGAATTCAGATGTTCCTGACGCTCTGAGACTTTCATTCAAGCCTACTGATATTTTCATTACAAACGCCAGCTCAGAGAGGACTATGAAAGCAGCCCAATAACCGCAGATGCTAGATTAAAAAAAAAAAAAAAAAAGGAATTAAAAGGCAAAAAACCCCATCAAAACTCAACAAACAACTTTGACCTCTTCAAAGGACTGATCAGATGTCACGGGCGTTGATTTACAAACCCATGTTTGCATTTGATGTATCATGACAGAGATCACAAGATCCTTCACGCGCTCTTCGAGGGTTGACAAAGGTTTAAAACAACACACACTGGCAGCAGAGGCTGGCAGACGTGTCACGAAGACCAAGGTCCTGGTTCACGTCGGCTGTTTCACAGCAAGTTCCACTCACAGCTTTGGAACTGGCCCCATCCCTCCGCGCTGAGCGGCATCAGGAAGGGGATGCACATCGCCGTGTGATACACAGCTCGCAAGGGTGTAAGCGCAGTTTGTGGCTAGCCCGCGGGTCGGGACGTGGCGGTCGCAAACCCAGAACTGCAGGTGTGTCGAACCGCCCCCGGTCACAGCATGAGAGGTCTCCTCCCTGGGAGGAAACTTCTGCGGAGCCGGTAACAGCCTAATTCTTCCATCTGCTTGCAGAGGTGACCCGGTGGTTCATTTCCAGCCTAATTACTGGAAGAGAAGAAGTAAAAAAAGGAAGAAGAGGGGGTTGAAAGCCAAGTCAGAAATTTCCATATCAAAATCTGCACCAAAATTTCCAAAGGGAGGTGAAGGAAGCTGGCGGTGCCTTTTCAGGAACGCTGCGGTCGGCTTCGCGCACCAAGGCTGCAGGTGCTTTCTTTCCAAGGACATAAAGGCAGAGTCCCTTTACTAAAGCCTCAAGTGGAACATAAAATAACAACACACTGACAGAAAGCTGATTGGATTTCAAAGAGGTGAGGATTTATTTACAAGAAAACCATTTTTTACAGAAAATTATAAAGTACTTTTACAATCTTGATCAACTATTCCATCTGCATTTTCACAGTAACATACCCCACCTCGGCAGTACCATCAGCATCTTCATCCACGTATCACATCGATGCATGTCCTACGCATGACGACATGCAACCTGGCCTAGTGGAGGGCGTCCCTGCCCGTGGCAGAGGGGTTGGAACTGGACAGTCTGTAAGGTCCCTTCCAACCCAAACCATTCTGATTCTACAAAGACATACAAAATAAGCCCGAGTCCTGGACACCTCCACCTGCTGACGAGATTTTCAAACCACCGACATACACTTTCAGCCACAGCGACCAAGCTACACAAGGACAAAATTTGAACCTGAACGTCCAAAACTTGGGCTTTAACTATATACCCCAACCCAAAGCCCAGCAAAGACAATTTGAATCTTTAACTTACTGGCTGGGTGGGTCAGCCTCGTGAAGTAAAGTTCTACCAGCACGCGTCTTGACTGATTTTTCTTGGAGTAGTAAATCCGATGGTACGTGGCTGCACTACTCATGCCAGAGTCTCAGGAGGACATTACAAAAATACGGTTAACTAGTACTCTAGAGAGAAATTAATTTCAAATTCTGTATTAGAAGAGTGACCTTGGCTTCCTCTACTAACAAAGCATTGCTTAAGCCGTATTTATCTGAGAAACTCTGTAGTGTGTAAACGTTTTCACTTCCAACCCAACGCTTAAAGGGAAATAGTCATACCTGAACCACCCTCGTCTCTTAAGTCGATCAGTCACGATGCAAACTGCATCTGGAAGCTCTTTTTCAGGCATGCAGCACTTGAGATTTGTAAGTTTGGAGTACTAAATTCAGAGCTGCTCCTGTTGGTGGCGTTGCGCAAACTAAACAAAGCTAGAGAGTGCAAGAGCACTTCTCTGGCCTTGGAGGTTTCTATGTTCTGCTCCTGTGATATCTGAAAGCTTATCTGATTCAGGCTATTCCTTATCAAACTGCAACTGAGGAAGTTGGTTACAGAACCACACCTGGCCAAGTTTTCTTCAAAAAACTGTTTATAGAGCTCTGCCACTTTTGTTTCCATGTACTTGTTGAGCACGGAGTTTGAAAGAGGCTCCTCACAGAGCGTGATGCTCCCTTCTCCAGCTTCATCTCCAGACGGGGACTTAACGCTTGGCTTTTCGGGATGCTCACACACAGAGGTCTGAGCTAGAGGAATATCTATGGACTGCAAAACAGGGCCACCGGGAAGTTCATCACACGTATGGTCCAAAACACAACCCGAGTCACACATATGGTCCCCCACGCGGTCTCCCCCGATGTGTAAGTCGGGATAGTTTTGATAAATGCTGTTGCATGACCAGGATCTGTACAAATCCATCTCAACAGTACTCTGTTCTCCCCTGGGGATATGTAAAGCTGGTGATACGGTTCCTTTAACAAGTGTTTTCTGATCTTTTGCAGGTACCTTTTTCACGGATCTCCGTTGAGGACCGCTCCTGTGTTCCATCTTGCTACTTCTAGCAGAGATCTCATCCTTATTCTCACGTCCATCAGCAAAGCCTTTAATTTTTGGGTTGTCTACAAGTTTCTGTCTCCAGCTTCCCTCTTTATCCTTTCTGGATGCATGAGATTTGCGAGGCTTATCCTGATGACAGCTTTCTTTATATATGAGCCTAGTTAAGATGCCTTCTGCCAACATGACGACAAGCGTGAGTAACAGTCTGATCACCAGAGTTCCATGCAGCCCTGCGAGCAAAAGACAGACAGGCAGAGTATCACAAACTTATCTGGAAAAGAGGAAGAGTAATAAAGAAAATGGATGATACACTTTTCATAAAGACTGTGATTTTTCTTTTTCTCTAGAACATTTATTTTTAGTAAACAGAAAACTGCATGCCTTTCTACAATCTTAACCTCTGTACCATGTCAACAAAAATCACTCTGAAGAAAGAGGAAGGGCATTAACTGGGTTCCTTCAACCATACTATCACTTCTGTCCCTAGGTACCTTTTCTGCATTGTGCCCGGTTGGGATGCTCATATTTAGGAGCTGTAAAAATCCACAAAACTATTTTACTTGTCTATCCAACTATCATCAGCTGCAAATTAACATTTTCCACCGCAAGACGACAATTTCTGAGACCTAAAGAAGTGATATGGGAAGGAAAACAAGATCAAATTCACACTTGTAGGTTGATTCTGAATTTGCCTGAGCCCTCCTGTGAGGTGCCAAGGAGCTTCAAAAGGTGATGGCTGTTCTTTAATGATAATAAAACTGCATCCACAATGCAATGTACATATACAAATGTTTTTAGAGTCCCCCTTATGATGATTTTAAAGGATATAGTTAATTTGTCTTCCCCAATAGTGATGAGTAGTGTGTTTATGTATTTACAGGTTACAGTTTCACTGAATGCACGTGAATAATTAGAAGTTAGCCAGTATATCTCAAAATTATCTTCTACATTTAATGATGCCTTACCTTTCCCTTTCAATTTACCTACTGTTAAAATCAATGGGAATCTTTCCATTTATAGAATCATAGAAACATGGAACGGTTTGGGTTGGAAGGGACCTTAAAGATCATCCAGTTCCAACCCCCTGCCATGGGCAGGGACACCTTCCATAGCCCAGGTTGCTCCAAGCCTCATCCAGCCTGGCCTTGGACACTTCCAGGGATGGGCCATCCACAGCTTCTCTGGGCAACCTGTCCCAGTGCCTCCCCACCCTCTCCGGGAAGAATTTCTTCCTGATATCCAATCTAAACCTCCCCACTTTCAATTCAAACCCGTTACCCCTTGTCCTGTCACTACAGGCCCTTGTAAAAAGTCCCCCCCAGCTTCCTTGTAGCCCCTTCAGGCACTGGAAGGTGCTATAAGGTCTCCCCGGAGCCTTCTCTTCTCCAGGCTGAACACCCCCAACTTTCTCAGCCTTTCAGCATAGGAGAGGGGCTCCAGCCAAGTCTGACCTAAACTCACTAAGGATCATCACTGATCCTGTTATGGAGGAATGGGAAAGATGAACAGAAGAAAATCCCTCTGTTCTTCAAATGCCTTTTTAATCGCCGCATATTTCAACTACCTTCACGCCTCTGGTGTGCTCATCGTTTGAAACAGTGGGGAGAGGCGAGGGAGGAAGCAGTTTTACTCAAGAGGGCATAGTAAATCTCCCAGAGAACATGACATACTGGCCTGCTCTTCAAAATACACCAAAAACTCTACTTATCACACAGACAACGAGTGCTCCGTACTTCTCACCACGCTGGCAATTTACACCAGTAGCAATGCCCTGCAAGTCACTAGACAGCTCTCCGCACACGTGAAACCTCTGCAAACTTAGTATGGTATTTGATGGATGACTGGAAAGATCCTCCTCAGTCTACTCACTTGCTTCTATCAACCACCATACCACAGAGTCTGTCTTCTCTGTTCTGCAATGAAACTCCATACGCTGGGTCACCTTTTCTTTCTTTAAATTAAAAAAATCTCAGTACCCCTTCCAGAAAGCTGTTCTAAAACCCCAGTTACTGGAGATGGAAATTTTCAACTTCCCTCCTAAATTTACGCAACACCACAGTACCACCATTTGTTTTTTTTCCTTATTCGGGACTCCCTTTTAGCTTAAATCGCACTGATCCCGCCCTGCAACAGAAGGGAACGCTGGAATCGCGATACGCCCGCAGTGACACCAAAGCAGACAAGCAGACAGCACACAGTGCCTTCTCCTGGTTACATTAGCACAGCTGTTTACTTGTCTACAGAATCCCTTATATATGCAAAAAGCAGGAAATAGTTTTCTTAAGCACTTAGGGACTTGGGAATCCAAGTGCCATTTCCAAAAAAGACAAGAGTACTTGGTAGTCTAAATCTTGCTGAACATCAACGGAATTTGGAATGCTGCGTGCCTCGTTTGCTTCTGAAAAACAGGACACAGGTACCCAGATCCTTACACGCTTAAAAATTCTGCTGTATGGCTTTGAAAAGGCTCATAGTGCTAATGTAAGAGCTAAACTATGGTAACCTTAGCAAAATTGCTCTCTTTCAAATAAAGCAAATGGTGCCTGTCTTCTGGAACAAAGCATAAGGGAAAAAAGGTACAAAAAGCCCAGACTTACCAATCGTGGTAGGATAAGAGAGACAGATAATCACATAGCCCAGAACTCTCTTACTACAGCTGCTGTAAGAGAACAGATTCTTTGCTGCTGCTGCCTGTGTGGGAAAAGACCTGACACACACATGACGTAGTTCCTCCTTCCTTCCTTTTAAACAGAAGTGATCCCACTAGAAAGGCACATGGTGATAGCAGATGTAGAAGAGAACATTCCAAAAAGTGAATTGAGATGTTTCCGACTGCGGCGCAACGCTGCTGAGTTGGTAGTGCCATAACACATGATGTACACAGAGACTGCTGAAGGGTCAGGGTGCCTGTACTTCACCGGGTGTTCAAAGCTGAAACTGATTTCCACCACACTCTTCCATCTACAGAAGCCCGGCTTTGTCCCACTGTCCATGTGACTTACAGAGGTGGCGTTATTTGCACCATTTCCCCTTTTGGAACAGCCAAACTTAGTGTCTTGTGACCTTCCTCCGGTGGGGAAGAAGTTGACGACTTTGTTTCATCAAGCCCTTTATGAAATATCATTTGCCTCTAAAGTGCAAATACGGGAAGCCACCTCTTTGAAAGCAGCAGTCTCATTCGTCACTGGTCAGAGAGACTTTCCCTGAGCTCAAAAATTACCTCTGCCCCAGCCACCTCTGTCAGAGGTGCCCCCATGGTGTTTTCAGTGTGTCCTCACGGAGGCTGAAAGAGAGCTCGTGCTGAAGCCACACCACTGCCCCAGTGTTAGTGTAAAGATAACACTACAGCAGCACGTCGACTGCAACCCACCGCTCAGCCTGTTCTGGCAGCCAAGTAACGATGCGCCGTAGAAATGAATTAACGTAAGGGTTGAAGGAACTATGACCACATACACCCAATGGGGCCTCTTTAAAACTATTCCTCTTTGCTCCTTCTCACCTCCACTTCACAAAATGAATCATCTTTTACGCAAAACTCATTTCATATCTAAAGGCTGTTTAAAGTTACTTCTATTTTTGATCATCTTACGTGACTACTTGCTGCATGGTAGATGTGGTTGGAACTTCGGCGGAGTATTCCTGTCCCTGGTCTCGGAGGGAGCCAAATCTCACTGGAAACCGGGTGGTTCAAGTTCCATGGAGTTTTAAACCTCGCCTCCTTCCCTGAGCTTGTAATTAGGGCCAGCTGCAGCGGTACTTTTGGTGTGGCAGTTTCAACAAAGCACAAAAGTAACGGAGAAAGAAAGAAATCAAGTTAGGTAATCAAGTCACCTTTTATTGCAGTCGTACTCGGGTGTCAAATGCATCAATCTTCAAAGAAATGGGTAACTTTCTGTCAGTAAGATCTTACAATGAAGACCCTTTATATTTACAAGAATAAAATCAGAACAAGACAAAACCACAGCTAATGGAGAAGCTGAAAGGAGAATGGAGGAGGAAGAAAGAGCAAGACAAGGAGGTCTGCCTCATCTCAAGGCAGAGCGTATAAAGAAATCAAAATCAATGTGACTGCACCATTCACGTA